CCAGAAGATTTTGTATGATGTTCATGTTCAAAGTTAAGTATACTTACATTTATCATGCAGTTTCTTACTGTGCATATTTGATTGGTGTTTAATTTTCTTTAAAATTATTGGTTTCATTCTTCCTGTTTCCTTATTTCTTGTTAGTATACTGGAAGCATTTATTTTCCAAGTCCTATACATTTTCATGCCTAAGTGACTCACTAAAGTAGATTTGTCATACAATGAATAAATGCTTTCTGACTCCAGCCCAGCTGAGAAGTTGCTAACCATGTCTGAATCAGACTCCACTGTATTTTTACTATTTTTTTAATAAAGTATAAAAAGATTTAGTGTAATCAGGTCCATTAAAATTAAAGTGCCTTCAAATGTTTCCTAATAAAGTGACTATTTGGGGGAGAGGGTGTAGGGGTGCTGTTTAGGAACTGATTTTTTAACAGTTTATAGATACGGTGCATATGTATTCTAATAGATGTAAAGTACTACATTGCATTCCGTGCTAATGCTAAGCTACAGTAGCCTACAAACTGATAAATTCAGCCAAAATGAACACCTAATAAAGAATATCAAAATCAGTTTATCAAAGTAATATCTTGTTTCATTCTCTATTTCCATTCATCCTCAACAGCATAGTTAGATGGATAAAGTACTGGAAAACAAATATAACACTTCAACCTGTTGAAGCTTGAGCTTGCCTCTTTTAATATCAGATGAATGAAACCACTCATTGCAACCATTAAAAACCTTGAATGCATAAAGACATATACCAGAACCCCTGACTGAGTGAAGTAATCACAACATTATGAAAAGAATTAAAATTTAAAAGCAAAATAGAATTTTTAATAAAAATATAATCATATGTATTTATGTAGACTTCAACACTAGAGGAAGAGTATCTTGCATATTTCAAAACATCCTCCAAATTCCTTTTTGTTAGTGTTATCACCTAATCCTAACTCATAGCTCTTTGTAAACATTCTTAAAGGGCATTAATATATACCAGAAATAGAAAAGACATCAAGTCCTGTGTTTCAGTATGGTTGACTCTTCTTTTAATGGTTTATTTTCATGGATTAAAGAACTGCCAACCTCTATCCAAAGGAGCATCCAGGTGTACTGTTAGGTGTACTCCTCTTCTGCAAAAATTCTTACTGACTTCATTGATGTAGATGAATGTCCTGAGGATTTGAATCAGTTTTGTTTTAAATTCAGCGCAAATTTTGCCCTGATCTCTGTCAGAGATGACAAGCCCTCAAAGTTTAGCCTCTTCCAGTGAGATGTAATCACAGACTCCAAAATACAAGTTAAACAATTCACCTAGAGATGTGAATCTCAAAAATTAAGTGGTTTAAAGTAGAGGAAAACAAACATTTTATGTGATGAAGATCTGCCATTCATTGAAACAAAGTTTTGATCCTTTAACTTCTACTACTAAAGGCCTAAAGTGATGAAGTTCCTCACGGATTCTCAGATGGCTAATTCTCAGATGGATAATTAAAAGTTCTGGTTGCTAGGGAGTTTGGGTTATCTGCAGAAATGAGGTGGAGAAGGTCTCCTTGACTAAAAAGAAAAAAATATCAAGACATTAAAGGGATATAACAAAGTTATATTGCACACTATGAGCATTCTAGAAGGTGGTACACTGTGACTGGGAGGAGGTGGAAGGAATCCTAACACTCCTTTATAAAGAACCATTCTCTTTACTCGAGGCTGAAGCATTAGCTGAATTTCATATAAATTCACATAATTACTTTAGTGTTTCAATGTCTGGAAGACAAAACCTTTATATGTGACATCAAATTTTACCACACTCAGAGATTATATTTCAATGTGTTTGGACATTTGTACATTTATCTTATGTGTTTTTTAAATGAAGGTATTTGACTTACTGGGTTTATTTTAAAATGTTTTCTTCCTCTACTTTAAAACTCATTGCATTGCTTTATAAATTTTAGCATTGTGTGTCTACACATAATTGGGCACAGACTGATGATAGCTTCATATCCACAGTGAAATAATCTTCTGTGCATATTTGTTAGGAATGGAAATGTTCAGCAGCATAGACCATCTATTTTGTGAAAGGCCAAGGCAAAACTTCTGCACTACTAAACTTTCAGAATAGGAATGAGAGATATGGAGGATGGATGCTGACTGTCTGAGTTTAAGTGAAAGTCACACCTTTTAAGAAAACAAAATGTAGAATTAACAAACTTTTGTTTAATTTCTGAAGCTTCTTTTCTCCCTCTATCCTAGATATCCCAAATGGCAGGAGGTACACAACACTGCATGGACTGTTTTCATAAAGCAGCCAGTAGAAACCTCTCACTTTCAAAGGCACAAGTCATGTCCAGTAAGTTCAGCAGAGTCATACAAGAAGTATTTCAATTTCATATGCTCTAAGAGTTACTTTCCCACAAGTCACATATGGCAGTGAAGGCTCAGAACTGAAACAAAAACACCATTAATTCCTCAACAGCTTCTTCCTCAGTTACCTCACAATCCACTGACATGGTAACAAAGCTTTTTCTCCATACTCCTTTCCTCCCTCGTACATCCCTACCCCCTTCCAGCTGCTTCTGGTTGATTTCATACAGACACTTTATGGTCACCCCACTTTTGAAAAGTCTCACCACCTATAACAACAGGGAAGGGAAGGTGATTCCGTAAGGCTCCTGTTTGGTGTCTAAATGCTCTTTCCTGTGACTATAGAGGCAAATTAGCTCCTTAATTTAGAATAATATTCAGTGGTATGAGTAGTCTACCAAACTAAAGCTTATATCTCAGAACACCTACCATAATAATTTTTTTAAAAAGATGCTCAACACTGCAGCAGTTACAAGTTGAATTAGCCCAGATATGGAAGGTGAAGGTAATTTCATTGGCTACAGTACAATTGAGAAGTTTGGAAGCCACTCTTTTAAAAGCAATCTGTCATGAAGTGTCCAGCAGACAACTCTGGCTGATAAACACTGCTGATTTCCACAGTTTTCATGCTGATTTGTGAATTACTGTTAAATTAACTGACCACATGCATTCAAAAGTCTGTGCCCTAGTACAACATTGAAAACCGATTTCATAAACCTCATTCGGAACTAGTGTAATTCCAATATAAGTTTACCACAGTGTAAGAAAATCTTTGTATTTATTGTATTAATTTCTTAAGTCGTATAAAATATGACACCCTGACCCAAAAGTAATGGGAAAAATAAATTAGATTTATATGTCAACCAAAAAATTCACTGGTAGATTCCATGTGCAAGTCTGAGAGAGAGAAGTGACCTGCGTTTTCTCACTTATTCTCTCTCCCTACTCAAATGAAATGAAACTTCTGGGTATTTGCATTTAACTTTGTGACATCAGCTGTAAAATCCTAGACACAGATTCTATACTGCTAAATGAAAAGAAGGTCTAACTGTGACATTCCTTGCACAGTGCTTCCATTCACTTAAATTCACATTTAAATTCACTAATCCAGTTGATAGTGTTATAGATTTGCAAATTACGTGTACTCAGTTTGCCCACTGTAAATATTTCTGTAGTGAAACAATAAAGCAGACTGCTTCTTCCCACAGAAGGAGTTTGCTTTAATGTAGACCAACTGAACTGAATGTAAAAGTGAAGCTTTTCTGGAGCATACCCACTTAAAAGCCTTGCTGATGCCCACAATAACTGCATGTAAATATTTAAAATTTATTCTTTTTCACTGAGTGAATTTATATAGTTTGCCTACTTTTCTATATAAATGTGCAATAAATGTATCTTTAGCATCTGATAAACACCTGTTTTTTTGACTGACTGACTCTAAGCATAACACAAGCACAGAGAAAAGGGTCAGTCAATGAAAAAATAGTTGTACCCAATAAAAGCAGTAGTAGGAGAGCTGACTAACTTTAGACATCATCAGCTTCTTGTGCAAACTGAAGATACACTTTTTGCATGCAGCTCTGAATTATCCAGATGTTATTTTCCAGAGAAGAAATCTTGCTGGAGAAGACTTGTACTGTCAAAAACCTTTGAGGGGTCCCGTTTTTGGATAGGGATGCAAAATCCTTCCTTATCAGGTAATTCAGCATGACTCTGAGCACACATATTTGGTGTGGGGAGAGTTCTGACTATACAGTGTCGTGCATGGAGAAATACACAACATCATGTCAACATTGTGAAGGCTTTGAGTACTTGGGACGTAGCCAAGGGTGAAACACAAATCTCTGTTTCTCATACCCCTGTCCAGTGAGGTTTGGAGAATTCCTAGATCTTGATGTGAACAGAAGGTATGAACTCCCAGTAGGTCACAGGAGGGAGACCTCAGTCACAGAAAACATAATCGAGCAAGAGCAGTTTAGCATGGGCCTCCATTGAACTATACAGTCAGAGCCCTTTGCCAAAAACAGAGTTAAAAGTGAAGGGATTTTTCTATACTCCTAATATTTACAATTATTTGTACATATGTACATATTTATATACTTATTCATACCTGGACAATGTGATGTTGAAGGGATAATTTATAATTTACAAATGAAACATTTTAAAAATGTATAGTTATACCATGAAAAAACCTTTTTTTATTGCTTGCCTTCCAGCCTTATGCTTATAATCACACTATTGCACACATCTCCCTGTTACATGGAAGATCTACATTTACATATAAATATATATGAAAATAAGGATATTTTTATTCTAATGTTCTGAGTAAAGTGCTCATTTTTTAGCTACTGTTGATGAGAAAGGTTTAGACTGACAGTTTACTTAGAGGGAATTCAAGGGATACACACCTTGTCCATGCTTTTCCCTTTCATTTATAACCTATGAAATGTCTTTATTTTACTGATGCCATCTCTGTCTTAACTATTAATTCTATTCATAATATGCATTTGTGACCTTGGCGTGTATACTGTCACACAAAATACAAAACAGAATCACATCAAAAGCAAAGAAAAAGCAAGAAAATAAAACAGCAAAAGAAAGCATTGTTTCTCTTTGTTGTTTTTAGCACATTTCCATGACTTAAGATACTCTTTTATTTGATTTTAGAAATATTTGTACAACTTTTTTTTAAACTCTGAACATATCTATGTTATGCACTATACTCAAGTACTGTACAAAACTGCAATAAATGACACTATACGACTACAAATGTCTCTACTAGAAGACATCATCATAAAGGTGTATCTTTTTTTAAAGGTCAACTAATAACTGCTAATGTATGTGTGAATCAAAATATTTTTGATTGGCCAAGTATACTAAAATCTAAATACAGTACACAATTATTTCTTATGCTATGATTTACCAGGCCTTTAGGGGCATAAAGAATCTTTGCAAAGACTCAGATGAAAAACAATTTTACTGATAGTATTAAATGTTCTTATAAAATTGCCAGTGGCAGCTCCAATTTTGTTATATCTGTGTATATGAAATACAGTTGATACCTACTGATGATGCATGACCTTTTATTAAAAAAATAACATTCAAATCTTAGCAAAATCATTTCTAGTATACAAAGTTGTTGTAAAGTTATGTCAGCGAAATGTAAAGTTGCAATTTACAAAAGCAGCAGTAAATTTTATTATATGGACAATTTCCTGAACTTAAATCATGGTTCTCATTTCCCTTGAAAACAGTGCTTCCTGGGACAAACACAGGTAAATATTTTAATGGCAGGCTTTAAGAAAATATTAGGCAAGGAAATAAAGTATATTATATTACTGATATACTTAACCCTGAAAAATTTCTGAGTGCGTTTATGAATCTGATAATATCCAATTAAGAACAAAATCAATAAGCAAAAAAAATTCCTTGCTGAACCAGACAACCCGGTTTAGCAATATCAAATAAATAAAGCAGTGAAAAGAATAAGTCTCACTAGCAGAAGTTGGTTGATATTGGAAATTTGATTAGCACTTTTCCCTGAACTCAATTAGATGAATTTATTAACAACTTCAAAGAGGACAGAAGTAAGAAACTTGTGGCTTTTGCCATATAGTAGTCTTTCCTACCTCTTCAGTCTAACTAGTATCCAGAATATTTGTGAAGAGTAGAACTGTATGACCTCTGTACTCTGTTATGTACATGGGTACTGCTATTGTATCAAACAATTACACCTTTTTAAAAAAAATCACTTTTTTAAATGACATTTTCTTTCATTAAAGTAGAATTAGTTACTTTATAGAAAAATATTTTAACTTTAAATTAAAAAAATACTGTTCCTAAATAATTATGTAGGATCATATCTTCATTTCATTGTATGGAGAGAATATAACTCTGTATATTTGAATGCTAGTTTAACCGAAGTCCCCTGGGTTTAACTTTTAAAGAGCTGGCTGTATTTGCCATGGGTGCTATCTGTTTACAGACCCATGAATTAACACTGTGTGCCTCCTTTGGAGATACACAGACAAGACATTTATATACACACTGTACATAATGGTTCACAGATTAGCAGTTATTAGTCAGACTGTACATAGCAAACAACCTATCTGATTAGAATGATGCGTTAAGTCCTCAGTGCAATTCAGCTTTTAGGTTGATGGCGCAAAGCCAAGTAAGACAGGCTCCCTGTTTAAATATGTAGCCCAATACACTAAATTAAAAGTACCAAATAATACTGGAAACACTATTCTAGACATTCTGTCAATTTTGCTAACACTGTTGAATGTCTTCTTTGCTTCTTGTGGCTTCGCTTCTGGTTTTGCCTTGTTGGGTTCTGCAGTTGTAGCACTCTTGGAGATGGTTGGTAGCACTGAGTCCTTGGTAATATTTGGAGCATAGTTGGCAACAGCTACTGCATAGGCATTGTTTTTCTTAATGACAGACGCTTTTTCTTTTTTCTATTGGGAGACAGCATGAAGTTAAATATTTAATGTGTATTTGCCAGAATAGACTTAAGAAAACATAATTTCAAAAATAAAAGAAACAAATGAGTATGTGTTCTGAGTATACTAATGACTATATTAAAATAAATACCAGGAATAACGTACTGATAAATTCAAATATTCCCGTCTATCCAAAAATAAAGTAGAGGTGACATAAAATTGCTTTTGCACCATCAAATTCCCTATTGAAGTTATATGAGGAAGGGTCTGTCACTGTGATTTTAAGGATAACTGGAAAAGAGTTGGACTTTCTCTAGTTGCTTTGTATCACTCTCCTTACAATAGAATTGCAGTGATGAGAACAGAAATAAGAACCTAAAAAATAGCAGAAGATAAGAAAAATGGGATGGAATTTAAATAATTTAATGAAGCTCTGCAAAGAGAAATTTAAATCCTGTACCTGGGGAGAAATAACCCTATGCACTAGCACAGGTTGGGGCTAATGGGCTGGAAAGCAGCTTTGCAGAGAAAGCCCAGGAGGTCCTGGTAGACAGTAAGTCAAACACGAGCCAGCAATGAGCCCTTACAGACACAAAGGCCAACAGCCTCCCGGGCTGCATTACAGAGAGCGTTGCCACCAGACCGTGGGAAGTGATCATTCCCCTCAACTCAGCCCTGGTGAGGCACATCTGGAGCCCTGCGTACAGTTTTGTGCTTTCTGGTTTAAGACAGACATGGACATAATAAAGCAAGTCCAGTGAAAGATGACAAAGATGATTTAAAGCCTGAAGCATCTGAAATATGAAAGGCTGAGAGAGCTGGGGCTGTTAGGCCTGGAAAAGAGAAGGCTCTGGGAGGAATCTTAACAATGTGTATAAATATCTGATGGGAGAGAGTAAAGAAGACCAGACTCTTCCCAGTGATATCCAGTGGAAGGACAAGACGCAATGAGCACTAACTGAAATACAGAATATACCACTTTGACATACCAAAAAAAAAAAAAAGTCTTTTACTGTAAGCATGGCCGAGCACTGGCACAGATTGTCCAGAGAGGTTGTGGAATCTCCATTCTTGGAGATATTAAAAAATGTCTGGACATGACCCTGAACAACCACCCCTAGCTTATCCTGCTTGGAGTAGGGGAGTTAAATTGATGATCTCCAGAGGTCAATTCTAACCTCAACAATTCTGTGTTGTTATGGGATTGTGTATGCTTTCAAAGGGCTAAAATTCAGCCTATAGCAGTTCAGTAAAGAGTCTATGTGTACACATAGGTACAGGGATGTGTAGATAATGAATACAGGCTTCAGGTTTTAGACATATATATAGGTACACAGGTGAGCTCTGCAATAAGACTGTAATGTTATAGATTGATTCACTGTTTTGCAGCATTGTCAAACTAAGGAATTTCTAATAACCTACAGAAAAGAATAGAAGGCAGTTTCTCAGGAAGCAACAGATATTATTTACATATATATATAAAAATATAACATATAATTTATACTTAAAATATAATAATATAATGTAATACGAAATATATACATATATTATTTAGATACAGGTCAATAAATATTAGATTCATTCTATCCCTTCCACAAAATACAGAATTAAACAGATGAAGAAACAGTTAACTTTTGGATCATATAAGAAATATTGGTTTGCTTTGATTTTTAATCTAATGGAAGTGGCACAAGTGAGGCAATTCTTGTGACATTTCTCATACAGGTGCATTTCTCAGGTGCATTTAAATTTTTTGCTTCCACTGGGAGGTATCTACCCAATTTCCAAATTTTGGTTTTAAATTATGTCCAATTTTATATTATACATGCCATCTGAAAGTCTTGGTAAGATCCTCATGGTTAGATGCTGTACCCAAAATACCTTGTCTTAGGAGATGGTGTCACATAAAAAGAGAATCTGAGAATCAGTTGGGAGTTTAGCATTGTTCCTTGTTGACTGGAATGTGAAATAGTGTTGATCAAATATGTAGCTTGTTCCTGCACCTGCTTTCCTGTGAGACAAATTCCATGTCAACAGCACTCAGACAAGAATTTCCATATAAGGTGAACACAGATGACTGTCACTGAGGAAACATATTTAGCTTTAATTGGTAAAGAGTAAGCCTGGCTTTAGGTGTACAGATGAATCCAGCAAAAATAAGAACAAATTACCAAATCAAATTATGAGAGAAACACTCTAATTCATCTATAATTCCTTCCTTTCAGACAAAATTAATGTGTTTTTAAAAGGTATCTGTACTACCATTAATGAAATCTGCATAATAAAGATGAACCATATTTTCGTATGAGAAACAATGACTATGTTAAAAGTTTAGCTTTTTGTTAAGTCATTTTGAAGAAAGTAGAGAACTAGACATGTGAATGGTATATAAATCTTAGAACGTAATGACTAATTTTGTCATTCCTAGGGAAGTAATACTACCTAGCTGTTAAACAGTTGCTGCTCCCAAGATTATGAGACAACACTGCTGTACTACTTTAAAGGAACAACCAAAGGATGATCAGAGAGTTTATAAGGGCTCCCTACATAATTACAATGCAAGAGCAACGTGCCAGTCTGAAAAGCTTCACTCATGAGATGCTGGTAAACTTGTAGTGATTCAGTATCTACCTCTAGCAGGAGGGAACAGATCCTGAAGTTATGGATAGTTCACGCCCTTACGGAAGTCACAGGGACTTACAAAGAATGTACATTTCTTCTAATTCTCCTTTACTATTATCTGAACATTTTTCTTCTTTATGCATTCAAAGTGCTGAGAAATCATCAGTTGATGAAACTTTGCTTCACATCTACTATAATCATTTAGGAAGCAAACAATATCCTGTCCTATTTTAAGAAGAATTACAGAAATCAGTGTATTCCTCGTCAGAAGAAATCTGTTTTCATTGGTAGAATCAGGGACTGGGATAGAACAAAATTATATATTAAGTCAGTCAAAACAGGTGGGTTTTAATATTTGTTCTGTGTTATTACAATTCTAATCCGTAAATATACAAAGTTAGGTGTATCACCAGTTCATTCTGTTCGTGAAATAAGAAATTCTATCAAGTTAAAACTTCATGCTATCACACCTACACCACTATCAAAACCAAAAAATTAAGGCATGACTGTATTTCTGCATGCTCAGAGCATCAATCCCTCATAGGTGAAGAAGAATTTTGTACAACTGCTATTTAAATTAGCTTTTAAATTAATGTCTACCTATCATTAGGGATAAGTTTTAGAATACTGGAAATATTCAAAGGTTCTAGATTTTGTTATTCATAGTTGTTACATATATGGACATTAATTTGTTTTCTGACCCTTACTTACCAGGAAAATCAATATACATTACATCTTTCTGTATTCTTTTTCTTATTTCCAACTCAGTTGAATTAAAAGATTTAAAAAAAGGTTATCAACCAATATAATCTGTATTAAATTTTATGAAGGACCAGATAAAGTTGTAACTGAGGAGTTAAAAAACAAGGCAGACAGCTCCCAATATTTAAAAAAAAAAAAAAGTGCTTGATAACTAAATCTGGATTAGTGAGACCAAATGGGATTTGCTACATCAAGGGAGATATGTTTTTGTTCAGGGTAGAAAATACACCCACATTCTTTTGATTTAAAGAACCATGTATTATTTTTTTTACATAGCCTATTTTATCAAAACAACGTATTACAGCTGGTTTAGTGCAATTGACTGAAAATAGGACTATTTCCTTAGGACTTACCTTATCATTCACTACACTTTTTCCATCCCAGGCCCATCCTCGTTTTGTGAAATAATTTACAGTTGCAAATTCAATTAATGCAGAGAATACAAATGCATAACAAACAGCAATAAACCAATCCATAGCTGTTGCGTATGCTACTTTGGGGAGTGAATTTCGAGCACTGATGCTTAGTGTTGTCATTGTCAACACAGTTGTTACTCCTGCAAGGGGACAAAAAACATAAGATCAACATTTTTTCTTGGATTTTGAATGTTAAGAAAAATACAAGCCAAAAACTATTATGGTATGTTTTTGAAACGCAAAGGAAAATCTGCTTATCTAAGTTGGTGATAAACTGCCAGAACTATATTAAAGGTTACATCTGGATATTTCTCTGAAGTATTCTAGTTCAATTTTGTTGTCTAAACTTCCCTGATGAATATCGGGGGTTTGGGGGGTTTTGGGAGTTTTATTTTTTGGGGTTTTTTGCCAGTAACTGTCTCTCAAACCATCCAGTGACATAGTTGAATAAATAAACAAGATAAGTTTTCGTTCAGGTAACATGGATTATTTTCTAGAACAGCATTGATTTGAAATGCCAGATTATTATAACTATATTATGTGTCAGAAAACAAGACTTGATGATCCAGGAAGACTGTTCATTCACTGTGGCAGTTACTAGAAGCATTTTGCAGTACTTTTTACATAATGAGGACCCAGAAGGAAATCAGGAATTATACTAAAAAAAAAATCAGAAAAAAAGATACATGGGAGAAAAGGAAGAGAAGAACACTTTTCTGAATCAATTATAGCAAGCAGAAACCCATAACCACAAATGCAGTCTCCATTCCTTAAGTAAATCAGTTCTCCCACCTCAGGTTGAATACCACTTAGACAAACTAAACTATTCCCTTTGTCACCATTAAATATATCTCCAGAATTAAAAGCAACACAAAGTGACATACTTAGCACAGATCAGTAAGCCCACACTCCATTATGACAGGCAAAGGAGAATTCCATGGCAGAAATACATGCACATCACAGCTTCAACAAATACACACTCATAAAATTGTTGTAAGAGGTTTCCCAAGAGAAAGTAAAGTCATTCTTCCTAAGTCAGATCTTCTGCTGTCAGCAATCTGTCACCTGGGTTCTGAAGGACTGACATAGCTCAGACTTTCTTTCTGCTACAAGAGAACCAATTTTAACCACTGTGTGAAAGGGAAGAGAGGCAGCAATTACACCTACTGAGACCTCCTCAGGCTTTGCAATTTCCATCTCTCCAGTAAGGAATCTCCATCTCTGAGGGTGCTACAAAGGGTGGCAGAGCAAAGCTAAGTGGACTCAGTCTCAGTGCTACTGTCTCTTGATGAGCTTCCAAAGGTCTGTGCAGCAGAGAAAACAAGGCATGGAAGCATCCTGCTGAATCACACAGTATCCAGACACCTTAGCAAACATAAATCCCTAATTGCCGTTTTTCAGCCTCCATAAATTTAAGTGGATTTGGCCTGGAATCAGCCATGACACTGTTGGAATCTACTAGTCTATATAATGAAAAGGAAGCAGCTGTCATACTATATGGTACAAAAAAGTGCAGACAATATATTTTGTAAAGAACTTGTTCTCTCCTAACACTTACACAACATATAGCTTAATTATTTTCAGCACCTAAAGAAAAGACAGCCTATCTTACATTTAAAGTTATCACATGCAAAGTTTAACACCATTCCTGAGCTGCAGATAAATCATTACAATTATATGAATGTATGTTTCTCACATATAAGGTGACCTCATTTACATGTAAATATATACAGTTGCTAAGGTACTGCTCTGTTTAAGTCCTACCTTTCAGAATAAACCAATCTTCTGGAAGCCCCGTTGACTTCTTCAGAAATCTGATTTAAGATTTACTGCTGATCTTTCCTAGTCTCAATTAAAACATCACAAATTTGCATCTTGTATCTTGCTACCACTTGACAATTTCTCTAAACAATTCAGCAAGTCACACTACTTTGTGACCCAAATGCCAATCAAGCAGTACGCTGTCAGACCATTGCCAACATACTTTCATTTATTCCTTCATTCTGTAAATCCAGTTATGTTCAAGCTTCCACAATCTTTTAACCTGAATTGAGTGTGAAGAAATTGGACAGAAAATTTAATCTGTGATACCTGACAGTTAGGATTCTCTAGTCTTTTTACATTGCTGTTATTCTTCAGACAAAAGACAGATGATTTTGCACATTATAATTAATTTCAAAAATCAGTATTATCAAGTCTTCTTTATGAAAAAAACTGAATTGAAATAATCTGCCTCCTTGTCACTGCTAAACCTGAGAGGACTGAAAAATTATTAATGTGGAGGAATATGGTTATCTTGTCAACAAATTCATTTATTTCACAAAGACTTAAAACCCCACAAAATCATACACTGACCAGATGAAAACAATCCTTCATTGCTTATCTAATTCATAACACTAGTGAACTAAAATTGCTATAAGAAACAGTAAGTAGATTTTACCCCTACAACGAAGTACTCAAAATATTAGAGGAAAAAAGTATATTTAAAATGCCATGGAAAGATTGCATGATATTTTCCAAAAATGTAGAAAGATCACAGTTTATATATAAGTCAAGAACTATCTCCTATAGCCCAACACCCATCAGATGTGGCACTGAATGGATGCCAGAAGGAAATAGATAGGTAAGATTTTATAAGAGACCAAGAGTAATCATCAGTTAGTCTTTAAAAAAGTCCAAAAAATAAACCATTGGCATTTCCTTTCTCTTAAGAGGACCAAGCATTTTTATAGTAGAGAGTAAATATCTCCCAACATCCTTACAAGTTTTGTTCTCAGCAGTCCATGTCTACAAAAGCTAAATATCTTCTATCACCACAGATTTATCCATTCAGAGCAAGACTGGAGTTACTTGATTGCCTGGGATTTTTTTTAGGGTGTTGCTTTTGAAGCAGCATCTGCTTACTGGAGAGAGAAAATCCATCTCCAGGGCTGCAAGTTTAACACTTTTCACTGGAACTAAACTTATATCTGTGGAAAATACTAGCTCTGTTATGTTAATAAAATAGATAATCTGAAAAAGTAGAAATGCATAATTAAAAACATACAGTGGATATTGGAGGAGCTAGCACATATGACATATGTCATGAAGACTAGTTCATGTCCACATTTCTGTGTAAAAGTCAGGCTACTTCTCAGCAGGGACAAGGTTTTTTGGAACCTAATTTCACCTTTTGTGTATCAACTGATTTTTCTAATTTGAAGAGATTTTAGTACACTAATCTTGTCTTAGCCTTCTTGTGCTAGAATGTTGAAACCTCCTTTGAAAGGCCTAATTAATGAGTTACCAAAGGAGATTTCTGTAACAAAAGAGGTACTTCAGCTTTGCAAACAACTTATACAAAATGTTTAAAATGACCTCTACTTCTTATAACATCAGGCTATCTAATGTCTTCCCACTATTTTATCCTTTCATCACAGCAGTTTGCAAAGATATACAGAACGGTTGAAGAACGTATCACAGAAGGATTGATAAATTGCCTTTTTTTTAAATTAGGAAGTTAATGTCATTGCTCTATTGTTTCACTCTTCCTCTCTTTTTTTTTTTTAAATAGTAATTGCAAGTGTTTTTTGGTAACTAGATATCTCAACCTGGTCCAAAACTCAAACAGATTCATAAATACAAATAACTGCAGAAAGAAAAGACTGTTGTCTGTTTTAGAGATACAGATTACTATTTCATTTCATCACTCCAGGAGCAAATGGTTAGAGGTGTAAACAAAAGCTTAAAAATTCTGGAGATAGAGTAATTTTAAAGTAAATTTTGCACCATAATATTTGGCTATACACCATCCTGTTTGTTTTTTATTTACACTATGTATATTTATTACTAGAAAATGCAATGCAAAAGGACTGTACGATGATTTTGCTTAAGCAGCAGGAGAGAAGTCTGAACAACCATTGAGAGAAAGATTACAGAAAATAGCTCAAGTGTTCTGTCTACCCTTTTTACTAAAAGAACAACACAAAACAGTCTCTTTAAATGGCACGGGAGGCAAGGAACATAATCTATTTCCAGAAAAGTTGTATTCAGTCAGTCAGTTAAGCTAGATATACACATGGTGAAGCTGGTGTTCATGTTGCTTCACTGTATCAATACTGAGCAATGGAACAAAGTTCCCCATCGATCAACAGCCAAGCTTATTCCCAAAGTTGAATGGCAAGTGCTATTTACCCCAACTTCAGTAAAATTGTATGTAATTATGTCACTACAGAATATGAGCTACTGCCTTCACACACCACTGAGCTGAGAAGACATATTAGTTTGTTTTCAGCCAGCTCAGTCTCTCACTCAGGGTTAGAGTTTTCCAGTGTCCAGTGCCTACTACTTGAGTGTTATGCCTACAGTTAGCAGAAATTCCCAATTAAAAAATTATAAACTGAAAGTGTGAGTGGTGGGCTATCTCCACAGTCACAAAAGATAATCTGCAGCATGTGAAAGGAGAAATAAATAAAGACAGTTGAGATTTCTTTCAATAAAATGGAAAAAGGTACTTTGCATATACAGAATTGCTCAAAAAGACAGGTCTATTATTCAATTCTCACGTAAAAATAACCAGAGAAAAAAATCTAAAATTTAGGTTCCTCTTTCTGTAGAGGCACAATTAAAAAGTTACACTTGCATGGCAAGATTTTGGTAGTGGGGGGCTACAGGGGTGGCTTTTGTGAGAAGCTGCCATAAGTTGCCCCTATGACTGAGAGGTCCAATGTCAGCCAATCCAAAATGGACCTGCCACTGCTGGCCAAGGCCAAGCCCAACAGTGATAGTGGCAGTGCCTCTGGGATGGCATATTTAAGACAGAGAAAAAACATTACTGCACAAAAGCAATAGCAGCCAGAGAAAAGGATTGAGAATATGTAAGAGAAACAACTCTGCAGACTCCCAGGTCAGTGTAAAAGGAGTGGGAGGAGGTGCTCTGGTGCACCAGAGCAGAAATTCCCTTGCAACCCATGGAGAAGGGGCTGTCCACCTGCAGCCCATGGAGAACCACGGGGTGCAGAGATCCACCTGCAGCTCATGGAGGACCCCACAAGAGAACAGGTGGATGCCTGAAGAAGGCTGTGAGACGATGGAAAACCTTCACTGGAGCAGGTTGCTGGCAGGACCTGTGGCTCCACAGGGGACCTACATTGGAACAGTCTGTTCCAGAAGGACTGCACCCCATGGAAAGGACCCACATCAAGAAGAAACAAAAACACAGACACAGGAACAAAGTATAACAATAAATTATCACAGTGAGCTGACAAAAGAACATAGCTATGCAAATTTAAAATTCTGCATTTTGGACAATATACTACATAGTAATACGACTACTAATTTTTGTTCTTGTTTGCTTCAGTTAACAAAGGCTATATATCTAACTACATTATTTTAACATCCTTAATGATACTCTGTGTGAGTTAAAACACAGATAACTGTAGCACTAAGAAAACTAATTTCTGATTTTCTGTCACCTGCATGTAATGCTGCTATTCAAACACGTAATGCTTCTAAATGCTATGACCCATTAAAAATGAAGTGAAAATTCAATAAGATGCACAAGATTAGTTTTGCTAATACTGTTGACACTAAACACATAACAATAAAGACATTACTAAATGAAACAGATTGTAATCTTGCACTAAGTGAAGGCATTATGAACTAGGCTCATTCTCTTTCAATAAGAATGCAATCAAAAGCTTTTCAGATTTATCTGCTACAGAAAACATATTCAACACTTATTTAATCAACGATGACAAAACTTTCCTCTTCCAATAATTTAAAGCAAAGTTGAAGCAACATAACATTAGGCCACAATTCACTTGGGATAGGGTAGGTCAACAACATTAAATAGATACCACAAAGAAAAGGGATTAAAGAGCTCTACTATAAAATATGGTTCATTATACCAGGCCCTTAATGTTAACCTAGAACTTGAAACTACATTGCAAGAGAATAGAAAGGGAAAAGTAACTTCTTTCACGCATGGAATAATAAATGTTAAGTGGTGCTTTGAATAACTAGAAGTTATGTTTCTTGGAGAGGAACAGTATTCCAATAGTTACTGCTTAGCTCTCAAGAAGGTACTTGAAATAAATGTCTCATTGATTCTCATTGATTTTAAAAACACATTCCCAAAACCAATAACTTCTGTTTAATTATATTTTAATATTGATATATTTAATATACAATGCAAAGATGAGTATCTAACAAGTGACTACTCCATATAAAAACTAAAAATTAAGTACAATCAATAAAAGTGTAAAGGAAAAATCTTCTAAGATTTTTATATTCCTTGCTGAAAGTAGCTTGTTTTATTAACTTAACTGTGGTGTGGGCTACTGATGTCACTGGATGGAGCCCACCTGAAAGTACTATCCAAACAAAACTTTGAGTGCATCTCCCCAGCTCTGTCAAGAATCATTCAGTACAGCCATAAAACAGTAAAAAGCAATATTTGAACTTTGTTATGAAACTGTGGCTAACTTCACACTTTTGTAATACATTTAGGCAGGAGAACAGAGGGTATCAGAAATCCCAGTGACAACTGCTGCCAGTAGGTACGGAGAAAGACTGGGAGATTCACCCAAGGTTATGTATTTAGAAAGGCCATTGGCAACTTAAGCTGACAACCTCATCTAGAGTGTAAAAGAATGTTAAGAAATAGCTCCTCAGGGAAAATCTAACCCAACACAACCCAGTGCAAAAGGTTAAGCCTGAGGTGAAATGCTGCATGCCAGGGTTAGGCTGCTCCATCAGGTAGAGCCTAAAACCTAAAACCAAGTCTTGTGTCTTGTTTCCCTGGGTTCAGGGTGCCAGTCTAAGCTGGTCTGGAGGGGCCAGAGACCTGAGTGGCAAGCGAGGTCCATGTCTGTGTGGCAGGAATAAAATACTGCCATAGAAAATGCTATCTTCTCCGTATACCCCTCGTGCTTAATAAACAGATTTCAAGTTTTATGGCACTGAGTGCTGTGGTTCTTTTCTTGCAGCCATCCTACACAGCTCCCTCGAAACATCCTGAAGCAGGCCACTGTTCATTATCCATATTATACTAATCCTCAGGAGAGTAAAGCAACAGGCTGCCATGCAGATGTTGCTTATTTCTAAAAAAACCCCATAAATTAAACAAAAAATAAATCAAGAACAAGAAAGAAGTGTACAAGAAGAGACACAAATTTCATGAAAATTATCCTAGTGCCTTGTTACTGATGGAGTGCCTTTTTACAGTGACACAATAACAGAAAGAGCATTTTAGAAAGAGTAGATGTGAGACTCTTTTTGGAGAAACTAGTTACACTGTCCTAAATGTATAGAAACAGGTACAGAAAAGGGCAAAGACAGAGATATAGAAGGATTTGACAGTGTACTTGCAAGGCTAGAAACAGGAATGTGCATTTTCATAAGCAGAAATGTCTAAATTCATAGAAGATTTTGAAGAAGGAAACCATGGTAGAATTCTGGTCCCACTGAAACCACTGACCCATTTCATTTGACTTCAACAAGGCTCATATTCAAACCCGAAATTTTCATGATGTTTTGTGTGGTATTTTCTCTACCAGGAGCGATAGTAAGTGCTTTGTTGTACATCATACTTAATATGCATTTGAGTTTGGACTATTTTTTTTAAGAGTGCATGGTGTTTACTGATGACTAATCATATGTGGCTGATTCCACATAGACATTATTTTTGTTGTGCTAATCTCTTTTTTCTCTAAAAGCAAATAAACTAAAAGAACTTTAAGTTACACAAATAAGAAAGAGGTTTTTTATTTGGCTTAAATAGAGAGCAAAACCTTATTGTAAGAGAAGCACCATTATATTGCTTTGCTGAAGCTGTTCACTGCCTCACAGTACACTCCAACTTGAATTAGTGAAAATGTGTTGCCCAGACTCTCAGAAAAGGGTTTCTTTAAAAGAACCGCAGCTTGAAAGATTTAACACAAATAATTCAACAAATTCAAATTTAATTTGCTTACTTTACAAATATATTTAGAAATCTGCTTATTTATCAAGTACCAAAATCCTTGGATAATATCAAGGTAAGTTATTTCAGAAAATCATCTAAATTTACTAAATTTACTTTTAAAATAAAAACATTAATACCTTTTCTATTCTGTGAAATTTTTTTCCTCTTAAAAGAGTCAAGGATATATATGGACAGTTCTCTTGTATGTACTAATTTCCAAAATCTTTGGGATTCTCGGGAGATGTGTAAGCTGCAGTTGAAAGCTGTCTGGACTAGAAATAATAGCACATTGTACAAACACTTTAACTTGAATGAAAAAGGCCTTTACTTCCAGAATACTTCCTAGCATCTTCAGCTGTTGCAAACAGAGCTAATGCTACTCAGTATACTCACCAAAGACTGTCCTGGCAGGTACAGATTCTCTGTTCAGCCAGAATGACACTTGAGAGAGAATGACAGTCATGATACAGGGGAGGTAAGTCTGAATGACAAAATAACCAATTTTTCTCTTCAGGTGAAAATGAGCCGTCATAACTGTATATTCACCTAGGTACCACAAACAAACAAAATACAATGAAACAAAACCTTAAGAAAGTCCATTTCTTTGGTAAAAGAAAGTTGGCTACATTTATGTGAACCAAATGTGCCAGGGTTATATTATACTGAAAGTATTCTGTAATAGAAAGCATCCTACAGAATACAAGAAAGATTTTGAGTACAGCTACATCTTATTCCCACTGAGTTCCATGACAGATGAGTGTTAAGGAACTTTCAGGAACTTTTGTATGCCCTGAGAAGAACTTCAGCCCTGAAGGCTTCTGCACATAAGCAACTCTGCATTCACACAACAGCTCCTTCAGAACTTAACCATGGTTAGAAAGCAGTCGTGGGGGCCCATCACAGAATGGCACATGTAGGAAAACAGTCTAGAGTGTGGTAGAATAAGACAGTGTTTAATGCCAAAAACATGATGGAAGGGAAACCTATATATTTTATCATTTAATAGACAAAAAGTGTCCCCATATGAAATTAAACAAATATTCCAAACTTGGGTTACAAATATAAGGATTCAACATAGAGTTCCAGCCAGCATTTAAAAAACAGTCACTGCAGACAAGCTCAATTTTGCTATCACCAGTTACTTATTAATATGAAAGAATCGGTAAAGTGTTGGTTTGTGTTACTTGTACAGTACATTGACTATGCCTAATAGATCACCTTTTGCAACAATTTTTTCAGTAGCCTTTAACAGCACCAGAAATATATTCTTCAGAGCAAGCAACTGCCTTTTTCTTCAAAATATCTTTTACTAACCTGTACTTGATTTAACTGTCTCTTTTCCAATTGTTTGACCTAAAAGGTCATACTGATTCAATCTTGAGCCATCTGGTGCCACCTGTACCGAATCTGAAGCGTTATAAGTCCAAATGTATGTCACTTCTGACGTTGTGTATGCATCTGTGAGAAACAAGGTAAAATATTTTGTCAGCAATTTAAATTAAACAGCTTCCATCAAAACTCATAGAATTACAATACCCAGTTAATTTTCAAATTAAAATTCACCGAAAACAGTTTAAAATGATGTAGTAAAAAATATGTTTGGTTGTTTAAACAGCTTTACCGTAGAGTAAATACCTGTTGTAGCATGGGAACAGGGCACTCATTTGTGATCTTATTAACCACAATTTATTGCTTTGAAATTACAAACAACATCTTTTCTACACTGTTAAAAAAATTGTTGGAGATTAGGTATTATATGCATCCTATAACTTTGGTAAGGCAGATGAGAAGAACAACAATTTGCAAGATTCAGAACGCACAACATTTTTGAAAATTCATTGCTATGTTGTTCTGACCTTTCATTGTCCCCACTATCAACTTTGGGGATGTATTACAAGCATTGTGTTATTAGCTGAAATTCAGACTTAAATATGGGAAGCCAGGGTCAATGACAGTGCCCTCGTAGTGGCTCTGTGCCTTGCCCTGCCCACCCTCTTAAATCACACTCCCTGCCATCATTTTGGGGTGCACACTGACATTAAGCAGCTGCTCTCTCAGTACATTCATGATCAAACATACATTTAGCCTGGGGTCTGTCAAAATAAACTAGAATGAAAGCAAATCAACGCTGTATTTTAAACAGCAACAATGTCACTGTAGTAAGAAACAAAAAAAATCGAGTATGTCCTGGAAGATTTTCCAGCCAAATATTCTATTAGCAAATGGCGCATGAAAGGAAAAGGGTAAATCACTGATGGAAAAAGTTGTGTGTTCATTTTGAATGACTGAGAAAAGTACATTTTAAACCTTACACCATAACTGTAGTGCAGTGAAAGAGAAAAGCATAATTTCTGTTGGTCTGCAAATACTTGAGAAATCTCTAGAGGATCAGAAAGAAGCTTCTTCATGTAACTAGACATAAATTGCATAACTAACAAAATCTATCAGGTGGGTAGCATGTAGAGATTCTTAACACTTCCCATCTATCTTTCCATCTTTCCACAAGAATATCTCTGCTTTAATGCAAATCAGCACTAAATGCAAATCAATATGGCCAATTGTTGATTTGTCCACATCCTCCCCACTGTTGACTAGACTTTTTGAAAATAATAAAGAAAGATGATCTATTAAACTACAGCTTCTTCCATACATTCAGTTTGGCTTTTCTCTTACTTATAAAAAAAGACATTCATACATGCTGATGATCCTCCCAGCAGTGTAAGAATAGCAGCATATGAAGAGCTGTGACAAATATATACCACCGGCAAACTTGCCTCAGTTAAACCCAAATCCTCAGGATTCCTGCTTATTTTCACCGCTATTCATCATTCAGATTCTGTCCCAGAATAAAAGCTGAAAAATGCACAGTTGTCTGAAAATGAAAGGTAAGGAAATAAAATGTGTGTGAAGCCATTCAAAATGAACAGAAATAAGAGTCCCCTGGATATGCCAACAGGCTGGAGCACAGATGACTATGAGAGAAATGAAAGAGAGGGGGGTTTTTAAATCACATTGCTCACATTTAGAATTCTCTGGATTATTAGAAAATCAGAAATCATAGGCAGAGAACAAAGAACAAACTGGTAAGAAAAAAATGAAACTAACAGAAATCCCTCCTGTTCACACAAAGTCTAATATACTTAGTCAGAAGGGTTATCAATTTAGGAATGCAAATGAAGAAAGTAGCCTCTTGGCATATGTTTCATTATTACAGGATTTTTTAAAGTTGTTTTAAGGCTACATTTCGGTCTTTTTTTCCTCCATGTAAGAATTTACTGAAACAAAATTATGCTGAGCAATGTTAGATATCCACTAACCAAAGGCTATACTTCACATTATATACTTACAGCTGCCAAATTTCAGTGGGCAAGAGTGTGCATCCATAGGGAAGTCCTCCAAGTGCATTGGACATTCAGCTTGGACTGTAAGCCTAAAAGGCAAAAGACTATGATGCATTTAAGTCATTTAGCAGGGCAAGAAATTCAGTTCCAGAGAACTGAAGAGAGTGCATGCTGATTTAGGAGACTAAATTGCAATTTTATATTAAACTAACAAAAATTTAGATCAGCTCTTGCTTCTCCCCTTTTATGTGTTCCTTTGGAAGGCATTAATTTATCACATCAAAAATCTGAAAAAGCTGACCTCAAAACTATGAGCAAAGACCATTTAAAGACAAATATAAATTATGTAATTGCAGGTTATTAAGTACAGTAATTTTCTTCTCATAATATTCTGAGATACATGTGTGCTTATATGGCTCTCAAAGGCTCATTATAAAAGCATATAAAATACAGTTAATTTGCCAAAGGACTATGCTCCAGAGTCTTCTGAATTTGAGTTTTTTAGTTTGAATGGAATATGTAGAGGAAAAATATTTGCTTTCTTTCAAAAGATTGTTGCTACTCATTCTCCATGTTACTTGTGATTATTCTTTTGATTTATGTATAAATGCAAAAGTATGTGAACAGTACATCCACTTTTGCTGATTTCGTGAAAAAAACCCCAGCAATATCCCAGTATCATATATGGGAATTAGTGCAATAAAAAATAATTTAAAACAATTTGAAGAAATTTTTTTACAGACTTTCTCATTATTTTTGTTTAAAAAAAAAATTAAAAAAAGCCAAGAAAAAAATGTCTCTTTCTCCTTCCTATCCTGGAAGCCTCCTCTTGGTAGAGGTTTTTTCTGGATGCCTTTGCTCTTCTTCATCCAGCCTCAAACATCAGCTACATCCATCTGTATTGCCAGTGGTTTCTAGTCTTTTTATTCTTGGCTACTTTCTCCCAACCTTCCACTCAAAAATACTCCATATTTCTATTCCCCCACTCCCCAGGAATGTTTTTCTGAATTCAAGGGGCAGAGAGAGACAAGAATCAGGAAACACCTGAAGGCAAAGAAAAGAACTGCCTGAGCCTCTGATAAAAATCACACAATCATTTTATTTAGACACAGAATAAAAGGCTGTTTAAAATCTAGGCAATGAAACCAGTTTACACATTAACCTTATATTCTGAGAAGCAACATACTTACAAGTCATGAAAATGTTTAGTTAATTTTACTTAACATGACTCAGCTTATGTTTCATAATGGTTTCAAATAGTATTTCTTATTATTTATAGTATGTGATTATAATACCTTCTGGAGGAAGAGAATTTCAGTCAGGTTATACAGATACTAGTTCAAATATTGATTTGAGCCCAAGAAAAAAATACTATAAATGGTGTCTCAATTGACTTCCAGCAAACTTTTCCAACCACTACATCATCTAACATCATTAGGAGTCCAGCCATCAACGTTCAATATTGTAAGGGATTCAGAGCTGCATAGTAAAATCAGGCTTAAGGGATGCTAGTACGGCTGCATGGAAAAAATCATACAGTACATGTTTGCTTTGCAGCTCACATTTTGTATCTTACTTAGGCTGGGGATTTTAAGTCTACAGGAACAACAACTTCAATTTATTAAATATTCTCCAAGAAAAAGAAAGAAACTAAGGCAGGCAGGGTCGTCCGGAAATTTCAAAAAAATCCATATAGGTAACATTATTGTTAAAATAGTAATCAAAGAAGAAATCAGTCTTATAGAAATGCTGTTTATATCTATGTATACATAATATTCATAATTTTTTCATAAATTATTTTCTAAGTAAATTTAATACTTTTTACCAGGTAAATATTTATGGTAGCTGCTAGTGATGCACAGGATGCAAAAATTAAAACTCTAAGTAAAATATTGTAATTATATATAAAGAAACAATTATTATAACAAGACATATTTTCCCTATAGTTCTTGCTGGAAAGAATTTGAGACCTTATTAACTCTTTATTCTTTGATTTTTTTTATTGCCGCTGATCTTAATAAATTTGCTTAAGGGCTCACACAGTCAGTACCATGGGTGCAGTAACAGGCAAAACTCATATACTATTTTAATAATTTTAAGAGTGGGTAAACTCTATCTGAAGGTCTCAAAGCACTTTATGCAGGTGGTCAGTATCTTTAATGCATTACAGAGATATGAAAACTGAGGCACATGTAGGAAAACTGATCTAACTCATTATCAGCCAATAGACTTTTAACAGAACTGGAAACCAAACACATTTTTTTAGCTTTCTTTCTGCTAGGACAGAAATACAACAAAGGAGAGTCCTCCTGGAACCTTATTTGTTACTTCAAAAAAAATCACATCAAGAAATAGCTTGAGTAGAGAACCGATGAACAGACTTACCTCATGGTGTACAACAGAGTTCCATCATCTTGGATTCGTAGGAGTTTGTTTGGCATTGTCATGTTATGAGCCACTGACTTCTTCCCATTGTGAAAAAATGTATCTGGGGTCCAGATTTTGCTGGCCATTAGGTTGTTCAATCGAAGAATGTTCATTGGGCCCTTAAACTTTAATCTCTCATCCTTCCATTTCTGACGGAAGAAAACATCTATTGTGTATTCCTGTAATGGAATAAATATATGCCTTTTTTGACACAATGAAACACTAATCTGCTTTCTGAGAACCAAAACAGAAAAGCTCTTTTGCAGAATTCCCTTGGTAAAATTGTCAAGGGAGAATGATCACCACACAAAATTGTATAATATTGAGAATAATAAACAGGAATTCAATGTATTAAGGGTATGACTTTCTCCATGATTGCTAGCTGTTGTTTGTATATTGAACACTTCCAATATTTAGATTTCTGTGCCTGATAAACAGTGGGTGTGTGACAAGGCTAATTTCAGTAAACATAGCTATTTTACATTAAGAAGTAAGGAAAAAATATACAGAAAGACATTAAATAGTTCTTGTGGCATCTACTGCTGTAGAGTAATCCAGCATTCAACAGCACAAGAGAAAGGTTGAGACTAGAAGTAAGGAAACAAGGCAACCTGTAAAGGGTACAATATATTGCAGCAGGACGATATAAGGAAGACTTTCTAAAGAGGAATGTAAGGCTCTGTAGTGGTATGGATTTTATGAAGAAAAATACACAGGTAGGAAACAATAGGTGATGACTGACAGGTGGCACACACTGTCTATGGAACTTTACTCTGATGCCTAAACTTGGGAAGGCAGTATAATCCGGGAAAAGAATGCAGGCAAAAACAGACTGATAACCTAGACCAGATGCCTGTGTCACCCAGTGCTGGGCATCCCATCTGCTGGGTTTTGCTGTTGTTCTAAGCAACAAACAAACAAAAAAGATACTGATTAAACATTGATAATGTAAATTCATCCACTAACTTCAAATTGAATCTGGAAATTGATTTAGTGTTTTGCTACTGTCAGCACAGCATATAAATTGGAAATGGAAGAGCATAAAAACTTCGTTGGAATGAAACTGCATTCTGTGTATTAGCAAATGCTACCTTTTTGTTTTGTTGGACAGGTACAAAATGGTCTCATGACTTCAAAATATTTGTATGTTGCGACAGTTTGTACTATTGCAATTGCTCTTCATAAACCATTTTACATAAACCATTTTCAAGTAAATTATCTTTGAATTGACAAGTCCTGATAAAATTCAACCAATATAAAATATTCAAGTGATTTCAATATAGAAGTGACTTCAAGGAACTTATCAGCCTCCATCACTTTCTGCTGGCTCCCTTGTGTGCTGATTAACAAGGCTTAAGGTTCTTCTCCATCAATCATACAGTGGTACAAAAGGAGTGCTGACTAGACAGCGACAAGTGACAGCCTCTTCAGCTCCTTTGGTCTATGAGCCAAGGAGCTGTGAGGACCTTTTCCAGGTCAGGGCCAGAGGCTAAGGAGAGCATGTGGAATAAAAGAAAGAGAATTTTGTCACCTGAAGGAACATGGTAGGGGCAGGAGAGAAAACAGTTCTCATTAGGGACTGTGACAAGTGCATATTTTGGAAATTATGAATACTTACAACCTAATCTGGCAAAAATCACCAGCTCAATTTTCAGCTATACCAAGAGGTCTTACAATAAAATACAATAAAATTTTGTCATTTTTCTAATTATAATCATAAATATTCAAAATTATATTAAATCAAATTTACAGTATACTGAAAATTAATTTGCTTGGCTTTCTTTAAAGCCAGTTGCTATTATCTTTGATAATATTTTAGTAAATATATCTCTGAAATACAAAATTATGAACCTCTAAAACATGTATTTCTTTGCTATTATACTCGATTTTGTTCAGTCTCTCATCACTACCAGAGACAGTCTCATGACAAATAGTTTGCTTATTTCTCTGTGATAGATCACAGTCAGTTGTACTCTTTATTTGCTGACTTATATGTTGTTTTATTTGTTAAATATCATACAACTTAAAATCCCATTTAAAAACAACAGTTTACCTATCAGTTCAATTGTAGACCAGGAAAAGTGACAAAATGCTTAGTATCATGGAGGATCAGGAGCAGCAGAAACAGTGTGTTTGAAGAAGGGGAATATATGAAACTTGGATAGAAACACAGTGTAATTAAAGGAAAACAATTGCCCTAAGAGCTTCATTGTGGTTTTTGTCTGAGGGGCTTTACCAGTAAGTCATTGATAAGTATGATAAGATTGATGTTTTAGGTATAAAGAAGTAGGAAGAAGAGCCTGAGGGAGTAAGACTTTGAAATCCCACTCAAAAAGAGTGATACATCCTACAGATTCTTTTGACAAATATTTCTGCACATAAATCATTAGAATATAAATCTGAACTTTCTGCAATGTTTCCATCAAAAAAGAACTTCAAAGGTCCTGCTTCTTCACTGTCTTCCAACATACATAAAAAGAATCACAGAGAGATAAAACTGGAAAAAAAAAAAGCAGGCATGAAATGCCCCTAAATCAAAACAGCAATATTTCAAAAAAATCCCACACTTGCTGCATGGCAACAGCTTAGGAAGTAAGGAAGTAGGAAGTAGTAAGGAGTAGGAAAGAATCTGAGCTGCAGCCTTGAAAGATTCTACTGATAAATCTCTGATTGATCCACAGGTAATTCTAATCTCTCCATCCAATCCACACTGGTGATCTTTATTTCAGAACATCCCATTTAGAAGATGGAAATAGGGAATAAACCAAGGTTTGGTGTGAATGACGACAAACACCTTCTTCTTCCATTTACAACAATAGTAATAAAATCTCACATAGTTCTTAACTAACTTATCTTTCTAAAGACCTCTGTGCATTTTTTTCAAAGGAAATATTGGGATCTCAGCTTTGTATGAAAGGAAACTAAGGCAGTGAGGTGAAATTAATTTGTCATGGTCCATTTAGAGTGATTATGAAAAGCAAAATACAATCCATGCCTTTGCATCCCAGTGCTATATCCACCGATCCCATGTTCCCTCCTGTGCCAAATTTATTATACTTATGATCGTGAATACCCTGTTGATGTTTACTATATAAAATAAATGAAAAAATATGAAATTATTGAAGTATTTTGAGTATATTCAATGTGATAAAAAGCCAGCATTTATCAAAATATGCTACATAAAAATTTTGCAACTAATTCCTATTCTATATACATGCTACTTTGTGGTAAATGCTGTGTAATGCTTACTTTTCTGTGAAGACTAACATTCTGTGAGAAATGCAAATCTGGACTCTAGAAAGGATACTCAAATTAATACCCAATACTAGTTTCATTCAAACTGCAGATATTCTCTTATGTGAAAAACCCTGTGCTGTCTTTGGACACAACCAAATTACGCTCCAGTATAGAGTGCAGTATCTCCACAAAATCACAGGAGAACACTTCCAGGTCTTCAAAGGACTCTTGTGATCATTGCTGAACAATAAAATGCTTCCTACTGATTTCTGTTTAAAATGTGCTTTCACAGCTAGATTCTAACACAGTACAATTAATCTTTCAAATGTATATTAAATCAGCTTATGTGAAATTTTTGGTACAGACAATGAGTTCTTACTACAGTATGAAGAAGCACTGCCAGTTCAATGGTTAGAAGAATAAAATGGTGAAGAAATTTCATTCTTCTTTTAATGTGCAGTTGTTGTGCATAACAGTATGCACCATAAAAAAAGACATTAGTATCTCTGGCAGAAGCTTTAACTGACCTGAGTATAAGCAATCCCTCCTCACTACATGTCAGTCTTCTTTTTTTTGCTAAGGACAGATTTGTATAGGAAAAGTTCAGACAATAAAAAATGTATTCTAATCCTCTGAGCTAATGGTTGGCAGATTTTGGCAGTTTTTGCATATGGAGTAAAGATGGACGTGTTCCAAACATCTCTAAAATTGTAAGTGTCCATTAGCAATCAGTATTTTCCTGAAACAGACTGAACATTTTATTAATCACCTTCTAGAACACAGCATTTTGTTTAATGAATAGTTTAGGCCAGAGGTCCTTATTCCCTACTTGTAAAGATTTCTCTTATTCAGTTCTCTAAAGTATGTTTCTCTTTACCACTCTTAAAGCCACTAACTGACACACATTTATAACCACAAAAGCAAATTTTAAATACCGTAAAATATAAAACTTCTAAAAGGCAAATACAAAAAAACTAAAAACAAGTAAACAGAAAATGGTACATATATCTTTTCATTGATTCCTTAAAGACAGTCAGAAATACTGTGGTTGATACACTGATGAGATAAACACTCCAGATACATGGGCCTAAATCTCACCTAGCTAATATAGGGTCTTCATATTGATATTTAGTTGGTCATTAGTATAATTTCATAATTTTAATTCTTAAAAAGTAAATTCTTGTTATCATATCTATTTTAAGGAAATGTGTAATTTTTCTTTCAGTTTAGCTTAAAAACATTAACAATATTACTATGTGTCTGCTACTGTTGAATACTAACATGACTGGTATGCATCTAGGCAAAAAAACAACTTTCCAGAAATCAAGGAGTTTTAGACTCAAAAAAATGCAATTATGCAAAGAAAACTAATCTACACAGTATATGCACTCTTGTTATAACCTGATATTTGTGGGTTTGATGAGTGCAAGTTTGTGATGCAAATCAATTTATTAAACTTCCATACTAAACATTTTGAATGAATGCTGAAATTAGCTTTACAGTGGGAGGATCAAATCATTAGTTTGTCATTTTGGTCATTTCATTCTCTGTAGGACAGATCTATGCATGGTGCAGATGACATACACAAGGGCTAACTCACTACAACAATCTGCATAACCTAGTTCATCATTGTATGGTTTGGCTTTACTTGGGCCTGTCTACCAGACTGGACAAACAATCCATCTTACTTTCTACTTATCTCTTCTCTAAAAACAAATAATTGTCTAACAACATCAGGACTGAACTAGTTCTCCTCCAAACCGCCTCAACGCTCCAATCATGAGCACTGATTACTCAGGCTCTGTACAAATACTTCTCTATTGGTATACTGAACATCAAATCTCACTGCACAGATAAATGAGCTGAGTCCTTTTGCTCTTCTTCAAAACTTACCTTCTGATGTGTGCACAACACAGAAAATAGAAGGAAATAGCAAATGGCC